ATTATTGATATGGAGAGTATTCAGAAAGAAATCTCAAATACCGACTTCTCGCATATTCTTGTGATTGAAGACTTGAACGTTGCAGCGGATACATTAACAAAAATCCTATCAAACATTACCGCTAAACACACAAAATCAATTATGGTACCTAGCAAAAACAGAATTTTAAAACCTTGGATCACTCCAGGTTTAATTCGCTGCATAAGAAATAGAGATCGTCTCCATATTAAACATAGAAAATCCCCTAACAACCAGATTGTTAAAACCACGTATACCCGGTACCGTAATTTTTGTAATTCCCTTCTACGAAAGCTTAAAAGAATACATGAAAAAAACGAACTACTTAAAAATAGAAATAACTTAAAAGCTACGTGGAGGACCATTAAAAACATAACACACACTGAAAAACCTCGCAACTCTCCCACAGAACTGTTGAAACTAACTGGCAACACTAAATCTTCATTAAATTCAGTAAACGAATACTTCGTCGGGATAGGTAAAACCCTTGCCACAAGAATACGTCCACCTGACAATGATATTGCCGCATATCTGAATCAAACGTCGACCATGAACTCAATGGTGCTCCTTGACGCAGATGAAGATGAAGTGGAATCTATTCTCATGAGTCTGCGATCTGATTCGGCTACAGGATGGGACGGAATCCCATGTTCGATACTAAAATCTAACCGTCGTGTCCTCATCCCCTTATTAACTCACATTTGCAATATGGCGTTTCACACAGGCGTTTTTCCCAATGCTTTCAAAAAGGCCCTCCTTCATCCAATCCACAAAACTGGTGATAAAGGCAACGTTACTAATTATAGGCCCATCTCAGTCCTGACGTCCTTGTCTAAGATACTTGAAAAACTCCTCAATAAGCGGCTTACAAACTTTTTAATAAAAAATAACATTTTATCAGATCGACAATATGGTTTCCGCTCAGGCATCTCAACAGAGGACGCGGTTGTGGATCTTGTTACGCATATCACCACTAAGCTAGATCAGAAACAAAAATGTCTTGGCATCTTTTTAGACCTTCAAAAGGCTTTCGACACCGTTGACGTGCCTACACTACTAAACAAACTCCCTAGTCTCGGCATTAGAGGGGCTGCTTACGACATTTTCTGTGACTACCTCTCTAACCGTCGACAAAGCGTTACAATTAGCGGTCACACTAGTGCTGAGATTCCCATAGAATACGGCGTTCCTCAGGGATCAATCATCGGACCAACCCTTTTTCTTCTATATATTAACCAACTATGTAATATGTCTTTACCTCACTGCAAGGTTTTTACTTATGCGGACGATACCGCCATAGTGGTGCATGGGTCGGATTGGTCAGATATCAAATCTAAAGCAGAACAAAACCTGACGATAATTAGTACCTGGTTATCTCAGAATCTTCTAACACTCAACCAGTCTAAAACCTATCTCATTCCCTTTTCCATTCGTAACAGCACACAACCTCCATCTGATTATAAAGTATTTATCCATTCTTGTCGTAGTCCTAACGAAAAATGCTGCTGCTCTCCCATTACACAAAAACATTTCATTAAATATCTTGGAGTTTACATTGACCAAAACCTAAATTGGTTTCCCCAAATAGAGGCTCTCACTACTAGAGTAAGGCGATTAATCCATCTTTTTAAAACCCTTAGACAATCAGCCGATCCTGAGACCCTAAACTTGGTCTACTCCTCTCTTTGTCAATCTGTTTTGTATTACTGTGTGACAGCATGGGGATGCGCGGCAAAGACCAGATTGATCAAGGTCGAAAGAGCGCAAAGAGCTGTGCTCAAAGTTATGCACTACAAGCCCCTCAGGTATCCTACTTTCGAACTTTACTCTTTGGCTTCTGTTCTCACAGTAAGGCAACTCTTTGTGCTCAAAGCCACCCTACGCATACATACTGAGGTGCCACCGCCTGATGCTTTCAAACGGAAACCCCATAGGGCCTGTGCTGTCCCCCGACATAAAACTGTTTTTGCGTCTCGGCAATTTCATGTCTCTAGCTCCATTATTTATAACAAAATAAATAAAATCTTAGACATTACCAAATTAAATAAACATGAGGTTAAAAAAAGACTCACAACATGGCTTCTAAAACAGAATTACGAAGACACTGAGAAATTATTACCCAACAATGAGTAACATACCACACTAACACACAACACACAACTTATTCATAACACCCATAACATTCACTCACTCATTCTAAATCTATTATTACTTGTTTATGTCATAAATAAAATATCTATAACATGTATATGGTTGCATGCTCTTTTTGTTTCTAGTTTTTTTTTTTTTTT